TATTTATTAATTTTATTATATTGACCTTTTAGCTATGCCTGGCCAACAATACAGAAGTTACAATGACACGGTGCACATGCACTTTTGTTACCATATCAAATAACATAAAACTAACCTTTGGTCTGTGCAAAGTAACTTATCTTGGTTGTGTTTTGATAGACTAGTATTTTGTAAAATACAGTCAAATTTCAATTATTATACATTATATATGTATATAGATTATTGCTATTTTGAAATAAGTTCTTCAACTTATTTTTCTTAAAACATACAACCATAACTAAACAAGTAAAACAAACAATTATCTCTTCTGGTTACAACCTTTGTAATCGACTGCTGCTTGACATAGGTTGCTAAGCCTTTAAAGAAATTGCACATGGATATTTTTCTTAGGTTTTATATATACATTTAAATAACTAAAATATCATAAATTACTCCATTAATACTGCAGAATTCCACTATAATTTATCAAACTTAGTAACTAAGATGTATTTTAGTCTAACAAAATATGAAATTTCGAGCAGACTAAAGACACACCCTACCTCGTTGAAATATTGGTTAAAAAAAAATGCCGCCAAGTCCGTTAAAATGGCTGAGAGCCACTAGGGAGACATTCTGAGCTTCCGATTGGTTACTCATGTCATATATAGAAGTACGTGTATATATAAGGGAGCGTTTCCAAAAATGGAAAGAGGTGGGTGGGGTGCTACTGTGTTTAATTTGTTACATGAGCAATATCTTAGCAAATTAATGAGATAAGAGGTAATTTGAGTTTCTAATGCATTCAAAACTATAGACTATATATATGAACCAGTGCTGCATTTAACATACCACATGATGCACAAAAATCAATGTTTATTTCTGTTTTTTTAATATTTGCTTTTAAATTATGAAATTGAGTAATATATAGTACTAAAATTTGAATTATAATCTACAGTTTGATACCAAACTTATTGACAAATTCAGGAAATAGTAGTTCAATAACATTTTGAATGCGAGTCAAGAAACGAGATGACATGGCCTTTCACCCGTGACCCGTCTTGAAAGGGTTAAGAGTTTATTTTCAAATAAATAGATTTGAGAAAGCCAACACATATTAATGCTATAATTTGAATTTTATTGGGCAAGTTACATTAAAAGAAATTACTAAACTTTACATATTTAAGATACATACATAATTTTGTTAAGAATTATTCCAGTACTTCGTACAGAACTTTCAGAGGATTTCAGAACTGGGGGTTAAAATCCTTGTGTGTCTAATTCTGAGGATAAAGCTTTGAAGCCTTGCCTTCATATCATAATGATACCCTGTTAGATTGGATCTGTTCAACATGTTAACATGCACATTATGTTAATGTTTATGACTGTGTGGTGGAGGCAAAAACCAAAGTTGTTGTTACCTGGGACATTGTGATGTACTTTAACAAACACTTACTATGAAACTGGTAAAACTCTTCAATTTTTACCAGTCTTAAAATCTAAGACAAGTGTGTGTGATCAATATGTAATTACAAGTCCAAGTGGGCATCTTTTAGTATGATAATTAGGCAGATTAACAATTACCATTTGTCTTCAAAGGTGCAAAATAAGTAACAGCTCATGATCAATTATCAGCTACTTTTCAAACAAGCTACTTGATAATATGATTAAATTTGGGTTTCTTTCATTCCAAAGCGTGTAGGTATGAATAAACAAATCAATCCAACAATATTCTCTCATTTCATCAATGTTGCATGACTGAGGTCTCTACACAGACAGGAAACCATGTGACATCCAACAGCTAACCCAATTTGAAATGTATACTTTGCACATGTACCTAACATGCCTCTCACAATGTAAATTTATTTGATATCAGAACATTAGAACACTAAAACTTTCATGCATGAATGTACACGTAAGATGCAACTTTTGTGCGTGAACTTGGAAATCTGTGTGAGAAATATTCAGTTGTCCAAGGTATTAAGAACCCTGTTGGTATTAGTTTTAACTTTTTACTATAGTTATATATTATAGCATTCAAAAGTAGTGGAGAGATGTAAAAAATACCAACTGTTTAATGCTGAAATCAAGCTGCTTCAACATCTAAATATTAAAGACTTCATAAAGTTCTATTCATTAATTTCAGAGATAAAAACTAAATGAATTATTTCTGATGGCATGACATATAAAAGATACTTCTAATATCAACTCTTAAGTTTTTTGGAGTGAAAACATTAATTTTCAAAGTACTATAAATTACATCAATTTTACATAGGCAATGAAATCAGTACTATATAACAATGACGAAAATTTGTATATAAACCAAAACTGAGATGTCTAGCATGAAATTCAAATCTAAAGCCATTACATATTACAAATTTCAATCACATAAGCTTAATAATATTTCACGAATAACAAGAGATATAAAAAACATTTAAAATCATACCATTTGTCAATGAAATACAACAGCTATAATTTTTTAAGATATACATATATAAATGTGTGTGAGAGTGTTTTTGCTCAACCTTTAACCTGTACAGATTAGTCACTATGTTCACAAAATAAAAACTAGAGGAAATGATTGAATCTTATTTGGTAACACTTTTATTAAGCACTTGATTGACAAACAGATACAGTCCACTAATCAGCTATTCACAAGAATGAAAGTTACTTACTGAAAAACAGCAGCACTATGAATTAAAGGTCGTCCAAGACTTAGGTCAATATCTGTGTTAAAATTGATATGATCCATTTTGTATGCCCCTTTCAGTATCCCGGATTTTTTTCTATTGATAAAAAATGAAAATACAGTTTATAATACATACAAGTGTATGTATGTATATATATATATAGATAGATATATTAAAATGATAACTTATTTTTAACACAATTTAGTATACAGTAGCAATCACAATTTTTCAGTCAGAACTTACATTATCATTAAGAATGAAATTAGGCAACAAAGTTTGGCTCTGAAAAGTTAGTCTACTATAACACCCACATATATAAATATATCAATAATACAACACTAATAAATTAGTTCTCAAGAACTTTAAATTTCAACCCTAAATATTAACCCTTCCTTTTACTTATCCTTATTAGCTTCCAAGTTCATTTTCAAAATATGTAAACAGCTTTAACTAATGTAATTGCTTTCTACAAAGCAATATCAAGCCTCTTTGCAGGGCTAACAACAGAAACAATGGCCAAAAAAGCATTCATTTTTTCTGGTACCTTTATCTATTATCAGTGAAATGTTAGTCATTATTAAAAAGTCAAACCTGTTATTGATTTAACCCTTCACATCCAAATATGGTTCTTTTGCACATCATGACCTTTTACAATGTTTAACTCAAATTTTAATTACACAACTTTATTATCTATGTATGTCAATACACTTGGCATGAAAATGTAGTTCCTAATTCAAATTTGTATACAGGGTCTTACAGACAAAAGATGAAAAATTCCAGGACTGAATCAATAAATTTCCAGGTGAATAATTATACACAAAAAATGACTACTTGCAGAATCTATTAAGTGCATTAATTCTAACATAATGTAACATGCAAATAGGGGCATTTTATGTAAATTAAATGGTAATGGGCAATTTCCCATTGCTTCTAGTCGATGCATTTTTTTCATAAAGCTGTTAATTCTCATCATTTGTTGCTGTTATTTATATAATGCAATGTGCTAGGATCTTTCCATGTGGTTTTAAGTGCAGTTTCACCCATATTTGAGATGTAGAAGGTTTTCTTGCACACGTTGCAACCAGCATTGTCTTTTGCTGGACCATAATGTACAAGCCAATCTGCATATTTTGGTTTATCAATTAAATATGCATTTCCCGCCATGCATACCTTTAATTTGCTTTAAGCGTTTCATCGAGCGTGATAAATCAATGTTCTGTTAAGTTTTAAACAAATCCAAGAACTAGCATTTGTTAAAATTACATTGCACATGCTTCAATTGTTAATGAGAATAACACGGTGTTCGATTTGGTGAAATTTCTCATAGCCTACACATTATATATAAGGGCCTAAGTTATGATAGTTATAGTACACCCGTGTGTAGGTAACCAAGTAAAAATTTTTTAAATGTTAATTTCTTGAAGTTATGTGAAATGAACACACACAAATTTTTTTTTTAAATAGGAAATTAATTCCAGGAGTTTTCTGGAGCCTTTGTACATTTCCAGAACTTTTATAGGAGCATGTTAGTTTTCCAGGACTTTCCAGGTGGCATACAGACCTTGGTATATTATCTAAGTTTTAACTTCTTAATTTCAAAAGTAAATAGTTAGAAAATTATAAGTCTTCATTTTTCTATGTCATGTGACATGTTTGAGCTCAGACATCTTCCTTTCAGATTTTACCGTAAAAAACAGATTGTTGCAATTTCCAACTAATTACAAACACAAATTATGTTATAATTACAAGAAAGAATCTAACATTTGAGCCCTGATGTTAGGAAACAAAGTGATTGTTAATTCATCTATGAAAAAAGTCTACCAATACACTAATCTAAACACCAGCAAGTTTGCTTTCATAAAGTTAAAGGTAAAATAGCAGCAGCTGATACAGCTTCATCCATCATGAAGATAGAAGCATTAATTTAATATATCAGAATAGCTGTAAACAAACTCACCCAGTTGGTGGAGAAAAAGAAGAATCAAGAGTAAGTTTAAGTCCTTTAATAAGTTGGTCTTCCATTGTTGCTTCAGTTGCCAATGTATTGTCAGTGTTCCATTTCTCCTTTAATGTAAGGCCTAAAAATGATAGTTATAAGAAAGTTTTTTCTTCTTCTTGTTTACATATAATGTAATGTGCTTTACTTCAGAAACTGCTCACTCACCAAAATGTAAGGATAATCTAATTTCAATAGAAACCACCATTTGTTGTCCAAAACATCTGAATGCCAAGTCTGAATGATAGCAAGATTCCGATGATGTTTTTATATATGTGTGTGCACAAACTATTCAAACTTTAGGCAGAAAAATAAAGGTCACAAATATTTAAAGGAATGATTATACCAGCGACCTTGCACTGAAACCTCAATCACAAATGCTACTTTTTTAACAAACTAATCTCAAAAACATATATTTTCAAACAACAAAACAAATAAAAGTTGTCCGAAAAATAAATCTTAAAAAAAATTCACAGGAAAAAGTATGTCTGACTTTTTTTAAATCATTTTTTTGAGGAAATACAAATAAATACAGTATTCAAAATTACAAAAAGGATGAAACATTGACCAATAATTTCATTATTTATCTTCTTTTACATATGCAACACATAATATGGGAATTTATTAAGATATGTTTACTCACATGATAAAAAATTGCATTATACTTTTCCAATTTAAACTTGTAAAATATCTTTATTTCAGTATTCCAATTCACTGAAATTTGAATACAAGATAACATGCATTAGCTTTAGAAATCCAAATCCACACTGACTCTTCAGTTCGAAGCTTGTTGAATGGTTTAACTCATGAAATAAATGATGTGTGCTACTAGTCTAATTATATTTATTTTTTCTTGGATAGTAAAATGGTCCATTAAAACTATTTATCTGTTTAATTATTTAATTTAATTTAAATTAAGTATCTGTTTAATCATTTATGTTTTAGTACTAATATTTGAGCTGAGTCAATTATTTCCTTACAGAATTAAGTATAAATGTTAGAATTCTCAAAGGAAAGATTTTACTCATGAGTAGTAATACAAAATTCTTTCAAAAGTGGGATATATATATTTGAAATTACCATAATCACTAAATTTGTATTTTGTCTCCAAAGACCCATTAACTTTCCCACTATCATTGTTCGATGTCCCGCTGACAGTAAAGTCCACACCAGAGAGTGTCTTTGTTTTACATTCCAGCTTCACAAGACCAAAGTCTAAATAAAAGAAATGATATTTTAAATATGATAAGTTCTGTATTATTTAATTTTATTAACTTTGAATTAAAACAAGAATGAGAGTACTGCAGTAAAATAAAATAATGAATATCAGTTACAGGTTTGTTATATTCAAGTTTTATTTAAAGAAACTGGCATGAGTTAAATGTTCTATTCATAATACTTACACCACACCACAGTAAAATCCAATACATTTTTCTCATAACTTTGAGCACAGCATGTTTGGTGCTACTATAGTATGCAGTCTACAAAGATATTTACACTACAGTGTGCAGTATACACAGATACTATGATCATTACCATTTTAATAATTCATTAAAACATAATTTCTTGCTAAATACTTTATATCTATCCACATTTCTGTTCAGCAAATAATTTAATAAGTTGTGTGTTCCAAAAGAGTACCTTAAATTTAGGTTATAATTGTGCTAGTTTTGATTGTTGGAATTTATTTTGTTCCAATTATATTTGCCCCCCAAATGTTATGTAATGGCATTTTGTACTTTATTAGTTTAAAAGCATTATTTATAATAAATGGCACCAATTGTAAATAAACGAAAGTGAAAATGGTGATGATGATCGTACCTGTGTAGACCGCACGCTACAGTAGCACCGCATGTTATATATAAATGTATTTATTCAATAATGTGTGAAATGCCTTCAAAAAACGTCTTGATTATTAGTTTTAACACATTACAGTAAGTTCGTTTTTACACATTAAAATATAAAAAGGGAAATCGGCTAATAAGAAGGATCACCTTCAATTATGTATAAAATTACTTAAAGGGGTAAGAACATTTTAAAGAATTTAATATTTAAAGTATATATCACAGCCACAGATGATTGAAATTATAATGTCATAATGCCCCAATACCTGATAAAATAAACAATATATTTTTTTAAAAAATGGGTGTACTACTTCCCTCCTTTCTTTTACCATTACAGTGTAATAGCTTACATACAGTTTCTTAACCTTATAATACTATTTTTTTATTCTTTCTATATTTATCAAACTAAGAACACACATCTCTACCTTTCATGTAAATCATAAAAATATTTGAAACACATTTATGTTCTATTTATACAAAGAAGTTCTTATCAGAGATGAACAATGTTTACATAGTTACAATAGAAAGGCACTTGGTAAAATTGCAAGAAATATATATGTGTGTGTGTGTGTGTTAAACAAAGCACTCAAAAAGAATATGCCACTGCATTAAAACAGAATATAAAACAAAGCCTATTCTTCTAATTATGTAACATTTCTTATCTCAGGAATATTTGGGAGCAAATAAATTGTAACACCAACATGTATAATTTCATTATACAGCTTACTTCCTTTAAAGATTTTACAAGATAGTTTATATTACTTCAAATGAAAAAGAGAATATATAATAAAATTTCACAAAAACTTTCTTTCTCTATAACTATAAGCATAATGGAATTCACTGTACATACGATAATTCTTGCTGAAAATGTCACGTGCATCCTTTCCAAGGTCTGCAAAACATGGAGGAGCCATTTTTGTGGGTCAAAGCTGAAATAAGATACACAAAAATTAATGTAAGATTACATGAATACCATACCATATTTATGCCAAATAACTTAAGACTACAAACTTTTTTGTGCCATCATTTTTTTTTAATTTATGCTTTACTTTCATCAAAATTATGAAACAAAAGAATTATAATTGTTTTCAAGAGTGAAAAATTAATCTAAATATTTCTTTATTAATAATCTTATCCTTCTCAGTAAACAATGTACAGTATTATATAAACACTACAACAGTTTCTAAGTGTCGATTGCTGTAACTCCAGGTGCCACCTTGTTTTATTTCTGAAAGTTATGGAGATACCTTTTAAAAAAACACATAAATATGTAGATTATTGAATCTTACAACCCAGAAAAGGGGTGATATTATATTGTAAAAAGATCTTTGATAATAAAGGCTTAAGAGGTTATCACTATATTAGTGAAGGTTTGAATCAAAACCCAAGTTGTATTAAAAGAAAACAAACAATGATAAATTGTTGTGTTTAAAATACTTAAGCTGAAAAGCAGGTTTTTAAAGGCTTAACAACAATGATAAAACCACACTTAACTGCAAGTCTATTATGCTTTAATTACTTTTGTTTATGATTTAAGAAATAAATTCAAAAGCATAAAGAAAATCATTTTGTAAAATTAAATTAGTTAGGCAGATTTCAAAAAGTTTAGGCTAGTGATGAAGTTCACTGAAAAACTTTTCGCCAACTATCTATTACAGTGGTTCCCAACCTGGGGTCTGTAAATGTAATACTTGGGGTTCGTGAGCTATTTTCTTTAATTAGATAATGCACGAAAGGACACAGTATGGGAGTCGGTGAAAAAATAAAAATAAAAGGGGTCCTTTGTGGTGAAAAGGTTGGGAACCACTTATCTAATATCTACACCCATTTCATTACAAAAATAATCATAAGGAGATAAAAATAGATTAATAATAAACATAACTAAAAATTTAACTAGGTTTACATCTATAAAAAATATAAAAATTATACTAAACATGAAATCAGAATTTATAAACAACAAAACAATTAAAAAAAACTAATCTGAGATGTGTGGCTTATTTTCTTTTTAATGGTTTTTCAAAGGTTCTTGTGTACCTACAGATAGGTTCCATGTGCCCCCAAGAATATGTATACAAGAGGTTGGGAACCGATGATCTAATAAATTACTTAAAATTTACTTTTCAAAAATTATGCTGATTACATACAAGAATTTGCTACTTGTGTTAGCATACTTTATAATAAAAATACTTTAATATTATGTCCTTAATTACATAATAAAATTCATCCCACCATTTTTACTATAAAATACAGTAAGCGAGATATCACACTCAATTAGTACCTTTACTATAAATATAAATGTGCCATGCTTCATAATTATTTGTACATTACTGTCACCACAAAATTAATATAATTTTCTTGAAATTTATCTTTTGACAGTTTTACTGACTGTATGAAAATTTATGCCACACCCTCTCACAGTTTCGTCAGATTGTGTGTAAATGTATTATAATTTATATTCAAAGCAATACGTGTGTTACTGGTGTAACTGCACTACCAGACTAGAAATAGTAGTAGTAAGGCAGTATTTTTGTGGTATTTAATCGCAACTTGGAAGTGAGTTTGGTTCTAGCTTAAACTTTGTATACAAAAGTAAATACGATGAGTTTTAGATGTACTAGCTGCTGTAGTCATTTCGACCCGAGTGGGTATTAATTTTGTGCTATACTGTAAATACTCCGTAAGCTTAATACAGCATGTTATTATTAAGCCTAGCTGCCTTTAACTCAAGCCTAGTATTAATATTATATACTAATAATATAGTACTACTACTAGTAGTATTAGTAGTAAATACTAATACTATTAGTATTACTATGTAATGGGTAGTATAAGTTATAACTATAATTTATAAGGTTACAACTTTCTTACTAGCTTTAGAAGTTGTAATAATAAATTTACTTATGAATAAACTGAGGATTATCGATCTAATTTGACAATCATAAGTGGTTTGTAAAATTAGTTTTATAGCTTACGCGGCAAGTAGAAACTGAAGTACAAGTGAACGCACACTAGTTCTCTTTTCAAAAATATTCTCGCTACCAGCACAAGAAATAAGGTCACATCTGTTGAAACTCGATACCGAGAAGGAGAAATAAAGGACACATCGAGACACCATGAAAATAATGCTACTTTATCCCAGTAAAAAAAAATAAATAAATAATGATATATATATATATATATACATAGCATAATATTACCCTATTTAGTTCTTAAACTATAATGTAGGATGTTAAAAAAGTAAGACATTATATGATTGGTATACGATCAGAACTTGTGTTCTTGAGAATGATTGTACCATTGATCGAAAAGTCTTATATATTTTGAAAAATATTATTACCTCCGCCACCGAAGGTGGACGAAGGTTGATTTCACCTCGTGTGTGTGTGTTTGTCAGCATTATTTCTCGAAAACGGCTGAATGGATTTTGATGAAAGTTTGTAAACATTTGGACTATGACTCAACTTAGAAGTGATTAATTTTTGGAGGGCCAAGGTCCCCATCTATTAACATGGGAACAGATTTCTTACACTATTTTTGCTCTATAACTCAGACAAAAATGATCGAATTTTAATTATACTTGGTGGACCTATGTAGAATATTATTCCTCATTGTCCTACCAAAAATAGTCTGTATCTGTTGATAATGAAGAACATAGGGACACATTTTCGTATTTTTTGAGAGCCGAATAAGATCAACACTGTGTGGCGGAGGTATGTGCTCTAAGTGCCCCTCTAGCTCCTTATTGTAAAGCTGTAACTTGTAACAAAATAATAAATATTTGTTTGTTATAAAGCGCAATACTACACACCGCGACCATCAAACCCGATTTTTAGCGTTACTAGCCCTCTGACTTACAGTTGAGCTACAGAAGGACATATTTAAATCTTGGGCGTTATAGATATTCTAGCAGACTGATCTAATATTCCATTATGTGTAATCCTATGTTCTGCGAATTTGAGTTTTATATTGCATTACTGTGCAACTTATGTTCTTTATTATATTATCTTTAAAGAAAAACATACTTTAATAATATCAGACTTAGCTATAGTAGTTTTATCCTGCCTGTTTCTAGAGTGGATCAACGTTTCGGCTTGTCAACTGAGGCTTTCTTCGACCTAACTTCACCTAAAGTCTCACTTTAGTAACTGAAACATAACCCCATTCTAGAAACAGGCAGGAACAATCCATTAAAGTCAAATCTCTACTATGTCTGCACTAACTAAAATAACAAATCTTAACATATTTCGTTCATAGACATGCCCAAACAAGTATAATTTATGGCATAAGACGAAAAAAAATATTCAAAAAATAACCATTTTAAAATTTAGTTTCCATAAAATAACTAGAAATGAAAGTCAGACTTTAAACGTTTTGTAAAAACATTTTGCTAGCATTACCAGTGTTGGTTGTACTTCCCTTCGGGCCATACAAAAGTATTAACATACTCTAACAACGACTTACTGTTATTTGCATTCTTCCCCGAGAGCATATTCTAGCAGATTTGCAGTGGAGTTCGATTTTTATTTTAGCTAGACAACTAGTTCCATATTTTCATCATTTTTTTGCATGGGATGAGCGTTTCTCTAGTGGTTAAATTTCTTGTTCTTCTACTTTTTCTACAGCAATCACTCTCATAATTACTCTGCTTGATACTAAAACGTCTTATACTTTTTAAAGTATTTCCTGTAAAATATAAACAGCTAACTAGACTAATGTTTTTGTAATTAGAAGCCTCGTTTATACTATAAGCACAAGTAATTCAACCATCGAAAAGTGCACAATTCAGGCCGATTGTTACAGTTAGAGGGCGGAAAGAAAATAATTTACTGTTCTCCCATAACATAAAAAATTGTCGGAATACTTACACAGAATGACTCCTTTCCTCTTGGAGACAGATGATTCTTTACAGCTCATACACCATTCAGGGGAGAAAACGATTTAGTTCACAACATTATCTTGTTTTTCTGTTACTGGAATATAGAATTAGATGAAGTAAGTTGGTCCAAATCTGCCTTCGGAAGTGTTTGGTCCAGGACTCCAGGTTATATATAAGCTTAACATACTGGCATTCTGGATGTGTGGCAAGCCTTCAATATCTGAACTGATGAAACTGGTATTATACCTACATAAATAGGAACAATGTCTAATAAATGTTGACAACACATCAGTTCAGTGGTGGAAAGAAGATGATACGGTCTGGTAAGACGTACCGGTAAAAATGTTAGTGCCGGTACGCCATACCAGCAAATAATTTTGTTTCGACTTACCATAACAGTTTTTACCAATATTGTTGGGTATTAGATTACATTGTAGTAAAAAACAATGCGCTTCAGGCTCTACTCCCAGTCAGGTAGGTTATTGTTGTTTGTTATTAAGCACAAGGCTATACAAAGGGCTATCTGTGCTCTGCCCACCATGGGTATCGAAACTCGGTTTCTAGTGGTATAAGTCCGCAGACATATCGCTGTGCCACTGGGGGAGGGCAGTCAGGTAGGACGCAAGCACGTGATTTAAGTACTATTTTTATTCCATTCCAACCTGAAAAATGTTTTTAAATCAAATTTAAATGATTTGTTTTCTATTAAATGTAGTAGCTGTTACCATTAAAATGTTTATATTCAAATATTGAAGCTTCGGTCCGAATAAATAAGCATGTTAATTTGTATAAAATATCGGTGTGTGTGGGGGGATGCTAAACACTACTACCACCGTACTGATAATAAAATTAAAGTTACTTTCAACACTAGCCATAAGTTTGAAAAAAATAAAAACAGCTCTAAAAACTTTCAGTTGGTCTGAACATTAACTTAAGCCAAATAAATGCATATCACATATTGCAGACAGAGATCAATTTGTTTTTTAGTCTGAATCATAATACATATGTTTTATTAAAACTTTTCACCAATGGCTGTATTGCTTTCCAAACTAACTAAAATGAAGAGACGCGCGTTTTGTGAGAGAACAAATGACAAGCACACATTTTTTGCATTGAAAAATACCGTTACAGACACTTTAGATTATTATTTACACAACTCCATGGGAGACCAAGTGTAAGGCCGCGTTAAACTAGTTCAACATGGTACTTAAACATTGTGTCTGTCATCAAAGTATATGAATGATAAGGGCTGGCTTTCAGATTTCTTTTTAAATTTATATATTAATAGTTTTAGTTTACTTTTGAGGATGGAACAGCCGAGATGGACCAATAGGTCTCATGTTGTCCCAAAACGTTATGTTAAAGGTCATACTCATAGTGCTTCCGGATTACTGTACCAACACGCATTGTAAAATGTTTCTGACACATTAAAGTTTTTTTCAGTTCAATCATGCATAATGAATGAATAGCAAACTTCCAAAATGAATATGTAATTATAGTATACCAGATCCTATGCTCCAGAAGTATAAAACTATTTAACACTTATCTGCAAATAGCATGGAAATGTCAAGAGCCTTTCAAAGATGTCTCTTAAAGGTATACAACATATGAAATGTGAAAAAAACCATTGAACTACCAGGCAACTGCTAGCGTCATACAGTGGAAAATACTGAAGATGATTTGTAACATCGGAGCAGATAGACTTCAAGAAGTATTATGCACAATACCCAGTTTTCAAATCTAGGTTCTATTTGTAAAGATCTCATGAGATGAAAAGATATAATCTAGAAAATGTTTTAATAAAAAGAAACAATTAAATATAGGATGGTAACCATACCAGTACCAAGCTGGTTCATCATTCCATTAGATAACTTTGAACTTGTTTCAATTGCTACCTGAGACAGAATTAACACATAAACTGATTGATATTTGTTACTTTATTAAGAGAATGCAGTGTACTTCCTTTCCTGTTTTACTAGTACTTAAAGATATATCTGTGAATTTTATTATTAGGTTGTATTCCAGGAGAAAAAAAAAACCAAGTAAAGAACAAATTTGACGAACTTCCATCTGAATAGTTGTAATACATTTAGGATGTAAAATCTAGAACATATCGATTTTATATGAAGTCAGATTGTTTGGAAGAAAGGATCATCAGAATGCCAAAAATAAAATTAAAAACTGCCCAAATGTTCTAATCCCAAATATACAGACTGGAATAACTACCTCCCCATATCCTAGACATCACCATTACTAACATCTACCAAGGCCAAACAAAGCACTAACAGAGCAGACGTTTTATAGGACCAGCTTGTACTTTTGACAATCAGGCCAGATAGTACAAGTAATTTCAATGAAGGTCTATTTCCCTCAGAACAGACATACCACTTGAAGCAATCATATCATATGAATTAATCCAGTTATCACAACTTAAAGTAATATGTCAACATTCTAATTTCATCATATATTAGGATAACCACTTTCTGATGCTTGCTTTTTGATTTTTGTGTAAAGCTGCATAACAGGCTATCTGTGTTGTGTCTGCGACACAATCAAACCCTGAATTTTAGTATTATAAACCTTCAAGCTCATTGCTGAGCCATCAGGATAATTTTTCAGCAGCTAACTGATTTATGAAGCCCCATCCATTTTCTCAGTCAAGATAAAAAATTTAATAGCATGGGGACTAGTTTTAGACAAAATAATGAATAGAAGATTATCCATTTTACTGTCCACATAGAAGAACATTGAGCAACTTAATATGAAGAAATCTAAGTTAGCCATTACTCAGTTTCAAATGATACACTAATAAATGTTATGAGCCAAATCCAGGGTTTTAATGAAGAAAATAGTTTTTGAACAGATGGAATGTCTTACTCAGTTATCCTACTCAGAAGTGGCCTTGAGTTCAATGACATTTAAGATGAAGTTATGCATCTGACTAAAGCAAGTAATTGAGTTTTATTTAGTGAAGGCATTCAATATATTAGTAGTTGTATTCCATCAGGATTGCCAATGGATAGCTTAAAATATTTACATGAAATGGCTAAATTGTGAGTACAATTAACATTAATGCTAGTTTCAATGCTGTAGAATGTGTAAATAAACTATTATTAGTCAAAAAAAATTCAGTATGTGGTATTCCTTAGAAAATTATTTCAAATGTGAAAATACTATACACTAGGCAAAGTACTGCAAGCAGAAGCATTCAGCAGAGAGATAACTGGCTAAAAGACTGGTAACA